CGCAGACCGCCCGGCCGGCCATGAAGAACGGGCTCGAGCGGAAGAGCTGCGTGTCGGAAAAGACGAGCTCCCACGTCCCTTCGCAGAGCGGCGAGAGCGTCGGCTCTGGCGTCGGGTTGAGCGCCTCGAGCTCGGCGACGAGCGAACGCGCGGACTTCAGATCGCTCTCCGACGCAGCCTCGCCGCGGCAAGAGCCGGCGGCAAGAGCGAGCAGGTCAGTGATGAGTGCAGCCCGGCGCTCCTCGTCTCCCGAATCACCCACAGATGTCGCCCCGGGCTTCTCGACGTCTGCGACTGTCGCAGCGTCCGCATCGATGACCGCAGGCTCGTCTGAGAATGACTTGGCGCTGTCCGTGGTGGCCGCGATTTTGTCGGTGAGGCTCACGTCCTCCATGCAGCGCAGTTGAGCAGCGCGGCTGGGACGGAGGTGGTGGCGCGGCGGCGGACCGCCATGGACGAGGCCGAGGGCGAGCGCCGTGAGCATATGTGTATCGCACTCTGGAATCTCTCGCCACGACGGCCGGTGCCTGTCTGTTTTCTTTCTTTCTTTCCGCGGGTGACTGGGGAGCGCGGCGCGGCTCCGAGATCGCCCGAGATCGCCCGAGATCACCCGAGATTGCGCGGCGCGGCCCGAGATCGCGCACCTCGGCATATCTCGGAACCGGCGAGGTGGATGGGTTGGGAGCGAGGGAGGGGGCGACAGACATCGATAGTGCCTCCCGCATAGATTCTCGACGCGCTGCGGAGTTCAAACATCGACTCTCAAACTCTCGTCGCCTTTGTGTCGGACAACGGCCCGGACTCTGGCCGGCGAGGGCAGCCGGGGTGGCGAAGCAACTGGCCGAACGCGGTATCGCCTCAGTAGCACTGTCACGTCCGTGCCAGCTGCTTGCAGCGACGAAGGTCGAATGTGCTCTAGATGATGATGGGCGACAGCGGCCCTCTCGACGGGAGCAAGAACATGCTGTCTGACGGTAGCGGCATCCGCTCCTCCCCCTCCCTATCATGCAAAGGGTCGGCTCCAAAGACTGGCTCACCGGGTGTCAGGCGGCATTCGTGTGCCTTTCATCCTGCGGTGGCCGGGCACGATTCCGGCGGGCCAGGCCGACCCCTCAAAGCTCGACTCAAATCGGAGCAATTCAAACCAAAAGGGACTGCTCGAGGTGTTGGAAAGCCACGCCCCTGCCTCAGAGCCTCCCGCCCTGCTTCTAGGTCTACCGCGAGCCAGTCATGAGCTTCGACCTCTACCCGACCTTCGTTGCCGCGGCCGGCGGCAGCGTCCCGAGGGGGACCCAGCTCTCAGGCACCAACCTACTGCCGTTTGTCGACGGCTCGCGCGCGAGCGGCAGCCCGCACGACGTCCTCTTCTGGAAAGCGGAGCAGGGATACGCGGTTCGCTGGGGCGAGTGGAAGCTGGGCAAACACGAGGTGCTTCCGGAACGGCCGACTGGTGTCCCACAACGCTTGGCTCAAGTAGAGACGCCCTCGTCGTGCTTGCTCTTAGGCGCTGTACAATCTGCGTACCGACATCGGTCTGTGCGCAGCATGCCCTTCTAGACTCGCGCACCTTGCACAACACGGCACATGAAGTTAGGGGGCTGCGGAGCCCCGGGAACCCCCCCCCCCTTCTTTTAGGCGAGCAGGTCAACCTGGCCAGATCAAGGTCTGACCCTGTAGCCATGACGTATTCCCCCGCAGTAGCTCAATGCAGGTCCGCGCAGGGCGCCAGAACCGCCACTCACGCTGTCCTAAGCATGCAAACATAGGCCCGAGATTGTGGCAAACCTCAAGGCAAAGTACCGAGCGTGGTGCCAAACCTTGCCTCGCTCGGCCAGCGGCATCAACAACTGCTGAGCGCATCGATCTGTGAGAGCACCCGTCGTACTACATTCCCTGTGGCTGTGAGGGACGCGGGTGGTTGGGAGAGGTTTTCGCGGGGCGAGAGGGGTGAGGGTTGTGTCCAGCGGAGCGCTCAGCACCCCCCCCCCCCCCCGCTGGATTGTGCGCGGCTGCTCGCTTGCGGCGCGACGCATTTTACGAGCTCGGACTTCTTTCCTGGGGTGTCGTGTGCCCGCTTTTTTTTATTTCTTTCCTTGGGGGGGAGGAGCAGTTATGTCGAATGCTCGTTTTTCTCGGCCCATCGGGTCGCTCTGCGCGCTAGACCGCAGCGGCGGCCCGCCTAGGGGGCTCAGGGCGGCCTGCCGGAGGGGTGCCCCTAAATGTGAAACACCTCCGGGGGAGGCCAACTTTGAGTGGTTGTGCCGAGTACTGTTTAAGGGTTGTGGGGCTGCTGTGGGCGGTTTTGGGCGTCCCTGGGCACCCTCTGGAAGGGTCTGGCCCGTTGGTTCGGGGGGCGTCGCGTCTAGGGGTGTATTCACACCTCGAAAAAAAACCCGCATACCAAACGACGCCGACTGGGTTCCGGCTCCTACCCGGATAGGGGGTCTGTTCCCACTGGCTGGCCCCTCCCAGATAGGTAGGTAGGTTGGTCTTGTTTGGCCCAAAAGGG